CTAAGATTAAGACTGTGACTATGATTGTAACTATGAGTATGAATGTGAATATAATTATGACTGTGACCATGACTGTGACTGTGAATATGACTGTGGCTATGACTGTGACTTAGACTATGAGTATGACTATTACTAAGACTGTGACTAAGATTATGACTGTCGTCACTCTGACTATGACTATGACTGTGAGTATGACTGTGACAATGACTGTGACCGTGACTATGATTATGACTTTGACTGTGACTTTGACTATGAATATGACTTTGACTGTGACTATGACTGACTGTTACTAGGACTATGACTATGACTGACTGTTACTAGGACTAGGACTTTGACTATGACTGTGACTATGACTATGACTGACTGTTACTAGGACTAGGACTACGATTATGACTGTGACTATGAATGTGACTATCACTGTGACTTTGCCTGTTATTATGAATGACATCAAGTTAATTGTAATGTAACCGACACAACTTTAGCTGTACTTAGGTGAATAGTGAAATAAATTTTATATAACTATTTCTTGTAAATTATTCGTGTCTTTCATTAATAATTAATAAAGTTTGGCAAACATCGGATTATCAAAATCCTGATTTAATTTGTAATTTACAAGACAATCATTTAGAATTAGAATAATTTGCAACATATGTTACAGCATATTGGCACATTTCCTTTTGTTCTGACAGTTTTTAACATGCAGTGCTGGAATAATACACTATCTGCATTTGATCATTCTTAGAAATACACATATTTTCCTTCTAAAACGACGTCATTTTAACGCGGTTCATCCTAAAATGACGTTGTTGTATGGGTTGCACTCATCTGGCAACCCCATGCCAGAAGACATTTCCAGCATGGGTAACACTCACGAAAACGCCAGTCTGCTATGCAAGAATAATAATGATATCTGTCATATGTTGCGTTTGGGACCGTAATATCCGCTCCTTGGGAACCCGCCCATGGGCGATAACTCGACAAGTCCGTTACCGCCTAATGGGCTGGTCCCCTCGGGACGGATATTCCGGCCCGAACCGCAACATATGAAAGATATTATTAATATTGTATGTTTTTATAATGATAGATGGAAGGCACATCTAAAGATTTGATTATACAGATAGATTGCCTCGCTACTTTTATTATTATTTAGATAGATTGTTTCGCTATTCTACACAGAATTGTCATTTCATTATGGAATACTTGTTTAGTTTCAAATATTTGTCGCAGCGGGTTTCGGCTGAAAAATTAACTGAAAAATTAAAGTAGTTATAATTTTCACCTCAAATAATCACTCAGTAATTTATACTTAATCATAGCTGATTGGTTTCAATTGTTAGCGCGGTAATAAATGACAATAACCAGATCATGTGTATCATGTACGCATATTCTTCTATTTATTACTAATAATCATATACAATAATTAAACGACAGAAATAATGATGATAATGATAATGTTATACATTAACTTTTCTGGTTTGACGGTTATACATACATGTACATCTTACTCTGACTTCTGGTTGAGAAAGACGCTTGATAAGAATCACAGACGCCCCGTAAGCTAGATTGATTATTTCCTCGGAATCCTAACATGAAATATTAATCCATAGTCATTTCGAGGATTCGAACGTTTACTGGTGAGATACATGTGGTTTGAAATCAGTGCCCTTACTGCCCTTAACTATGAACTTAGTCACGGAGTCCAGACAATATAGTGGAACACGCCAGAAATGTGAATATACATACTAGCATTAAACATAATTATAACAGAAGTACTGATTATATATGTGTTCCATTGATATCTTCAGTCTGATTAAACTGCCAAACAAAGAGTACTCGTAAAATATTTTGATTTTTAGTGTCCTGTTAAAGTTTCCAAAACACTACTCATTGACCAATTACCTGATCCATCGTTTGCTTCTGTTGCTATCTGTCAATGAGTGCTGTCATTGGGATTAAGTGCAGCCATATTTAGGCCCCAAACACTGTGTTTCGTTTGAGAAATGTTGTTAAAAAAAGTGACCACTTTTTCGGCCCCGTCCCCCATCCAAATATTACATCAGGGGTTTGCCAGAAGGGGGATGTGCCCCCTTCTGTTTGGGGGGTTTGAAGGGGGGCGGAGTCCCCCTCAACTCCAAGAAAAATTTGTACATGTGACAGGCTAGCAATGGCCTCTGGTCGATCTTAGGGTAACTAGTAACCGACGCTGAAAAGCCTTTTACTCTATCTCAATTCATTGAGAAGTTGCAGCACTTTGAAATCTGTTTTGATGGAAAAAAACAATGCAAAATAGTGATTTTTGGCAATTTTGAGACGTCCCCCTGTTGCCATGGTAACAGGAAATTTACCATTGAGCATGCTGTTACAGGGGCTATGGTGTAGTCAACATTTGTGCCAAGTTTCATTAGTTACTGTATTGAAGCATTTTTCACAGTTTCATAGCAGTTTGAACTTGTTACAGGAGGCTTTTCAATGAAAACGGCCATTTTTCGCAATATGCTCATGGGGTAAAAGGTTAAATTCTAAGTCAAATTTTCCAATAAGAAATCAATGCATGTAATTTATTGGTTAAATATAATGTGCACAAATATTTGCAGTACACATTTTACATAATTTTTGATGTTTGAAAATTGTTTTATTTGCTTAATTATATTATATATATTTTTTTTGCAAGTGTGATATTCACACGGTAACAATATCAATCACAAAACATATAGGATCATTATGTCGCAATGGTATATAGACAGATAGATGATATTTAAATGTAATTTTCTTTGAGACTGTATTTAGAGACTCCCTGTCATATGTGACCTTTTTCTGAAGATCCCTTGGAAAGTCACATATGACAGTCTCGACTGTATTTTGTACGGAAGTCAAATTTATTTATTTTTCATTCTACACTACTTCCATCAAGTGGTCAACATCTATTATGCTCTAGGACTAACCAGAATTTGAATGGTTTCCACTTTAAAAAGAAAACGATATCATTTCAAAGGCATAATACGCCATAATTTTTGCATTCATTTCTTCTGTTAAGAGAAACAGTTTACTTTCAAGTAGCATCAGTAATAACTCTTGACCAATTAAGCAAAAGAAATTTTTATATTCTCCTTATTTGCGTCATTGAAACATTGCAACATCTGTTGCTGTTTCTTTTTTCAATTTCTTTTGATTTAAGAGTTGAGTGGGATAACAATATAGGATAACATACCGGCTTATTCGTGTATTTAGTGCAAAAATATTAAGCTTATTGACAGTGGCTCGGCTTGCATATTATGTAGATCAGGGATTTAATGTTTCCTGCATATTTTCTGGAAGCTAGACTGTGAGACTGCGTTCAATAGAGTTTAAGTTTTTGTCCGTCGCTTTAGTTGTATTTTACAACTGTAATTCTTGACATGGGTAATTGTCAAACAATGTTTTTTGTTTTATTTTTCATTGTTGTTATATGGTATTCTTCGTAATTGTCCTATTGTGGGGTTTAGCATATCGATGTTGTTCAAAATGAAAACGACAAATAGAAAAGAAATGGATGCGAACCTAGAATTCGTGAATTAGTGCGCTATGCCAAGCAATCGTTCCCATTGACGGAATTAAGTTTACTTTACTGTAATTCACCTTGTCCGTTAAGTGAATATAGACGGGAAATTTCAGAAGTTTACAAAATTATTCAGAATGCATTATAATGCTGGTATGTTGCTGATACCAAATATTGAATCAATGGAACACTTGTATTATAGTTTTTGGGACCATCATTTGTCTTATATGTTGCTAATCGAGCTGTTGTTCATTCAGTAATAAAACATGCCCGAACTTCAGCAACATGCAGGCGATGCAGGAACAGTTATGTGTTAATAATGATACTATTTTCTGTAATCAGAATATTTTAATTCTCTTTGCCGATTAACGTTCTTATTAGGAAATATATGTTTTTTATTCCCAATAAATGCATCTAATATAGTTGTCTATTATTATGTAACAGATGAATGAATAAGTACAAAATTAAGCCGTCTGGCAATAAGCAAATGTAGTGTCATATTGTGGAAATATATCAGAAGAAGACGGTGAAAGAAGGAGAAAATTATATTTAGCATGTACATTTAGCTGTACATCAAACTAATTAATCCATTTAAAGTTTGTATTGCATACAGCATACATACATAATTCATTCAATTTTTTTCAATTTTGAGAATAAGCTCAAATGTTATGAAATAACATGTACAAGTTATTGTATCGAAAGAGCAAATTTAAAGCCATTTCAAACTAAGTATTCAACATTCAATAAAATGAGCATGGAGAACTGTTAAAGTCTATTATAATTATGAATTTAATAAATCATCTCTTTTCTAGGTGACACAAAGATGACATGTGTGTGTTTTTATTGATCTCGTGTGCATGAGATACTATGACGTGGCCAAGTCGTGGCCACGAGATAGTTAAGTCGTGGGAACGAGATACTATGTCGTGGCTATTACATAGTATCTCGTTCCCACGACTTAATCATCTCGTTGCCACGACTTAGTTACTCATAGCCATGACATAGTATCTCGTTCCCACGACTTAACTATCTCGTGGCCACGACTTAGTAATTCATAGCCACGACATAGTATCTAATGCGCACAAGATAGATAAAAACACACACACACACACATGTCACCTTTGTGCCACAGTACTTTTCACATTTAGTTAAATGGAAAAATTTCCTGAAATCGTAATATAAAAATGGTGTGACATTGCACATTCCAAGTGGTCTGTTTATCATATATAATCATCTGAATTTCGAAACCACCTTTAGATTTGCAATTTCACATTCACTTGCCAAACATTTGTGTCCGTAATATACATACAATATATAGAGTGACTATCGACTTATTTTTTATCTTTTAAAAATGAAATGTTCTTGTTCTATATTACTAAATACATGTATTTTGCAAAGACAAACATGTATACGGTATGTTGATAACTATGTAACATGCACTAGCAAACTTTATCGCACTACTAATGTACATTGCATTTTGAAGAAACCTTAAATGCACCGTGTTAAATGTAGTTTCACAATTTGGCAGCCATAGTTATATATTATACAAGTAATGCTAATTTAATGGCTTTAGACCTACTGTCCATTGACTGTTGCACTTCGAACAACAACAGTATCAACAAAATATGCCTATCACTATTATTTCACAGAAGCAAACACGGTTCTAAATTTTAATTGGAACATATATTCCGGTATTAGGCTTAATAATGGCAGGCAGTCAAATAAAATTAATAAGAAATAAACTATTACTCGCATAATGAAATAATATTATTTTAACATCGAATACGTTCATTGATAATGAAAAGTGAAATGAGAATGAAAATGTAAAATGAATGTCAATTTAAAATTATAAAGGATTTTTAATATTCCAACATGCGTCCTCCTGCCACCACTTGTATATATTTTCCACGGACTTTATGTTGTCGTTAACATTATTCAGTTTTTCACACAAGTTACAAAATGATGACTGTACCATTTCCCGCTCTTTATATACCCGATAGGTATCTTTACGTTTCAAGAAGTTGGTATACTCAGTCTTATTTGCACCTAATTTATTCAGATAATTTGATAATGCGGCTGCGTTTTCAAAATTGTTTGCGTCTACATAAGTACCATTGGGCAGAAATTTAGTATAGTCACACCCACCTCGAACCACAAGTATGACGTCCAGTTCAAACCAGTTGTAAACTTTTTCTGTTAAATAATCAATACAATACGTATTTTCAAAAGCAAGGTAAAACATGTAACGTGTCCAATTTTCAGTAGAATAATAAGTTTTAAGTCCGATCTTATTTCCATAACAACGTCCAAACTGATCTACTTTGATATTTTCTCTCATCTTATCAACATACTTTTCTCTTTTAGACTTTGTTGAGCAGTGACTTACAATCCAAAAAACACCTTTATCCTTTTGTTTATATATAGCTGAGTAATCCTTGTCTAAGTCTTTATTTATATGTAGCTCATTTCTCCTTTTTCGTCCAACGTTATTCAGATAATCGGTATAACTTTGCTCATCATTCGACACAATTGCGCCATAAAGAAATGGTATATCAGAATCTGTTCTATATGTCATGGTCCAGTTAAAATAGTTCACGAACATTTCATTGGAAAGATTAGTCTTTTGTATATACAAAGGAGGCTCGTTATTCAAAAACACGAAGACTTGATTAGCATCTCTATGAGTTGGAAGATGTTTCGGCATTCTGTTACCTTGGAAGAGGACTGCATCGGCATCTAATATAGTGCCCTTGATTTCTGCCGACATCCGAGGTACATTACAATTAGTGACGGAACACACGGTCATGTCTACCGCGTCTATTTCTTTTGACAGCCTAATCTGACGCGGAAAATAAGCAATAATTTTTATTTGATCTTTCACTATGATGCGGTTTGTCTGACTGTTCTTCCCTTTATTCGAAGCTCTGAAATTCTTTACAGTACGTGTATCATTAATGTTATGTTTATCGCGTTCTTCAGACTGCTGCTTTGTATTTGTAAGCTCCGTTGCTTGTTGAAAGAGATCGTCCAGAGTTTCGTGCAGTTCACTGTCCTCGGGGTTCAGTTCTAATAATTCCTTTACTCTATCTATCACATTTTGCCGTTCAGTTTGAAGTCGTAAAATTTCTGGTTCCATCATGAACGTAATCATGTAAGACAAGCTGAGACAAATGAAAAATAAAAGTATCGCTCTATTTAATACATTATTACTTCTGCACTCTTTGCTGGTGATCATAATGAAATATCCCAACATATAAGAATAATTCAGAATGGCGCAAGAATGTTATATTGATACTTGATTAGATGGGAATATATGCTTTATTTCTGTAAGAATGTATGCCTTCCATCTGTCAATATAAAAACATACACTATAATACGATATTTCGCATTTCTAAGAGAAGATAAAATGCAGTTTATGTATTATTCCAGCACAGTATTTTAAAATCTGTAAGAACAAAAATAATTTTGTCAATATGCTGTTGCATGTGTTGCAAATTATAATTATAAATGTCATGTAAATTACAAATTAAATCAGGATCTTGATTATCCGATATTTGCCAAACTTTATTAATCATTTATGACAGGCACGAATAATTTATAATGAAGTAGTTATGTAAAACTAAGTAGAGCTAATGTATTATATAAAGTGTTAAATATGCAATTTAAAGTCTACAGTTATATGATTTAGACTTGATTGTGACAATTCAATGAATGGGTAATTTGTATTAGTGCCATATGGCCATTCATAGCGGAAATGTTTCCTTCACCTGTTCAAGATTCTTTGATTTATCTTATAGGATTACTATCCATATAATTTACAGACGACCGAGAATTCTTTTAGTGTATCCTTTAATACTAGAAATATTAAATACGAGTAAAAGTTATAAAGCTTGGCCGGCATACAACCTAAAAGTTTTGTTGCTGATTGAAACAGACGCGTGTTTGACTACTTTTGTAACAGCACATATCATGCTACTATCATGAGTTAAGTAACACACAAGTGACATTTTCATTCATATTATTTCGCACAATTTTTATCATCATATTTATTTGGTGTTATTATTCTTTATTACTGATATTTTTTAGTACTAATAATTTTTATTACTATAATTTTTTATTACTAATAAATACTAGTAAAGGCACGTGTAGAATGAAATAAAATTGCGCACCTAGCGCCTTGGATATCTTCTAAGAAAAGAAGATTAACGCTATTTCCTGCTGTAATTAATACTGGCTTTAAGAAATAAGCTTGCAATGCGTGTGTATAATGCCGGCATGTCATGTGATAACGAATAAAATGAGAAACAGTTAAGTAATATGACTATGACTGTGACTATGACTGTGACTGTGACTGTGATTGTGACTATGACTGTGACTTTGACTGTGACTTTTACTTTGACTGTGACTTTGTTTGTGACTGCGGCTATGACTGTGACTGTGTTTGTGACTGCGGCTATGACTGTGACTGTGTTTGTGACTGCGGCTATGACTGTGACTGTGTTTGTGACTGCGGCTATGACTGTGACTGTGACTATAACTGTGAATATAAATGTGATTGTGAATATGAAAATGACTATGACTGCGACTATGACTATGACTATGACTATACTGTGACCATGACTGTGACCATGACGGTGACCATGACTGTGACTACGACTGCGGCTATGACTATGACTGTTACTATAACTGTGACTATGATTGTGACTATGATTTGACTATGACTATGACTGTGATGTGACTGTGACTATGACTTTCATGATGAATTTGACTATGACTATGACTATTACTGTGACTTTGTCATGATGTCAGAATTTGACGATGACTATGATTATGACTATGATTATGACTATGATTATGACTGTGGAGATGACGAATAATGAATATATAGCTTGTTAGATGTTGGACAACTGAAAGTAGCACTAGACGTGCAGTAAAATGTCATAAAGGTTGCAAAATGTAAACAAAGTAGTAATGTGACTTCAATACAAAATACTTATTTACTGTAATTAAACCTATTGTCCACGGAAAAAAAAGAAACAAAAGGTAGTTTATCTCGTATATGGCAAATTAGCATTCATTTTTTAAAGATACCAACAAATGAAAAGTGTTTGTGAATTAAAAATGATTGCATTTCTGAAGCGAAATGGGCCTTTAAACATTCGTGAAATGCGCTCTGATTTACAAATTAAACAATGTATTATTATGAATGATACAAATTAATCGTAATGTAACCTACACAACTTTAGCTATACCTAGTTGAACGTTGAAATAAATTTTATAAAACTATTTCCTTGTAAATTATTCTTGCCTTTATAAATAATTATTAAAGTTTGGCAAATATCGGATAATCAAGATCATACGAAAGACCGGTGGTGACATTTCACGTTCACGAATTCGTGATTTCAAGATTTTAATATTTCATTATTTTTAGAGTAAAATATTGAATTTTTAAATCCTGAATTCGTGAATTCATGAATTCGCGATTTCATAATTTCACGATTTCTCTTAAAAACCTGAAAGTATGAAATAATGAAATCGTGAAACAATGAAATCGTGAATTCATCAATTCACGAATTCACGATTTCATTTTTTAAAGTAAAGTCGTGAATTCATGAATTCGCGACTTCATTATTTCACGATTTCACTTTAAAAAATGAAATCATGAATTAATTTCATTATTGCATTTATTTAGGTTTTTTTAAGAGAAATGGTGAAATTATGACATCGCGAATTCATGAATTCGCGATTTCATTTTTTCACGATTTCATTTCAAAAATTGAAATCGTAAATTCGTGAATTCATGATTTCACGATTTCATATTTTCATTTATTCAGGTTTTTTTAAAAAGAAATCGTGAAATTATGAATTCACGAATTTACGATTTAAAAATTCAATATTTCGCTATTAAAGTAATGAAATATTAAAATCTTGAAATCACGAATTCGTGAACGTGAAATGTCACCACCGGTCTTTCGTAAGATCCTGGCTTAATTTGTAATTTACATTACATTTAGAATTAGAATAATTTGCAACACATGTTACAGCATATTGACACATTTCCTTTTGTCCTGCCAGTCTTTAACATACTGTGCTGGAATTATATATTAACTGCATTGGATTTTCTTAGAAATGCGATATATCGTATTATATTGTATATGTTTTTATAATGATAGATGGAAGGCACATCTTAAGATTTGATTATGTAGACAAATTGCCTCGTTAATACACAGAATTGTCATTTTATTATGGAATACTTGTTAAAATATTTTTGATTGCGTTATTTTCGCAACAGTTTTATTTAATTTCAAAAGTTTGTCGCAGCGGATTTCGTCTGGAAAAATTGCATTAAAGTAGTTCTAATTTTCACCTCAAATAATCCCTCAGTAATTTATACTAATTGTTTTCGATTGTTAGCGCGGTAATAAATAACTATAACCAGATCATGTGTATCATGTGCACATATTTTTCTATCTATTACTATATTTCGCTAACATTGAGGGATTAAGCAGTTAAATGATAGAGAATAAAAATCTGGAAAATATGCGATCCTTCGGTAACAATGAAAACCTTAATATATCTTTAAAAGTGCAGACTCAGTTTGATTGAGCCTGTTCATGAGATATAATAAAATTACACGTGTCTCTCAGAGTAATAGTGCATTTACAGCATTTATCAGGGGAGAGAACTAGAATATTATGTTTTCTTAAGTCTATAAGATTATTTGCCCCTGGAGAGTACTCGGTAATAACATAACGCGATGTCACATTAGGATATATTGTAAAATGTTTACATGAGGTATAACAAAATGTAATATGCAACATCTCTCACGCAACCTAGCACCTCTTTAAGCGGTTTTCAATCTTCAAAACTTTATTAGTTAAGTTTTTGTTTTCATAAATGTATATTGAGGTAGACTTAACGGCAGTTTTTTTCAATCGACTGGAATCGCCTTTAAAGACAATTCATATTGAAAGCTCTGAGGCGAAAACAAATTTAACCACCAAACCGTGAAGTCCAACTATATCTTTTATGATCAGTATTATCTGGTGAAATTTTTGTTTTGCAGCATCACTTACTTTGACAATAAAATGGTTTAACACAATATTCGTTTGTGACGATAATGCTATTAAAATGTAATAATTAATATCTGAAAAGAATGAAGATACATGGCTTATATGAATTATATGTTACAATAAAAAAGAGTTTGGGACGGTGAATAAGAAAACCGAAACTTTATTTAATCAATTTATTTATTTTTCTTGCAGACCAGCTGCCGATGTCCTGACTGAAACTAAAAGATTGATAAATATATCAGAATTAATGCAACTCGCAGGCTTAATTTAATTTTGAAGAACAAAATTTAGATCGTCTTTACTAATATTGAATCGCCATTGAAAAATGACATTATAGATAAAATACACTTGTCATGCGGCGTGGAAACAAACAATAGCTTTCAACCACGCTATTTATTTACGGACCGGGGCGATATCAAAGGTAAACAGACAGATATTTTAAATTAAAGTTTAAGTTAAAATTGTAAAATTTCAAAATGACAATTACAAAAAAAAAAAAAAAAAAAAAAAAAAACAAACAAACACGAGATGTAGTATTGTCCTATTAATGTACATTATCAGATATATCCATTTACAAGAAAATTTAAAGAAAAGCGAACAAAGCCTTTAAATTAAATAATCGTGTTTTTAATTAAATGATCGTGATACTTTCGTTCAATAAAGATCGCCCCTTTAAGTGGCCTCGAACCTAGCGACCCAGAACATATTGTTTTACATAGCTACATACCTTAAATAAAAATGCACTGAATTAAAACCTTAAGCTAAATTTCAGTATTGAAAAACAAAAGAATTTGGAAAAAATATGTGAAATTTTCATGGACTATTAATTTAAAGGTAAATTTGTTATTTTGAATTACCTTATATATTTAAAATTCTCTTTTAAACATTCTCTTTTATCAAAAGGATCGTTTGTTTATTGTAACTAGGTGAAAACATTTTCTAATGTTTCGTTTAAAACAATTCAGCTTAATGTCTTGAATATGGTCATTAAACTATGAATACTTAAAGACAGATTATATCAAATTGTAACCCTTTCTTTACATACGCACACATTCGTCGGTGTTTAAGTAAAACAAAATTACTTAAATTGTTAAATAGCAACAGAGAAATTGATGTTTGTGTATATTACAGAATAAAGATCATTCTTAAAGTTATTAATTTCTATGTTTGAAGTTCGAACCGAGCCGGCGACATTTCAATTTGCCGAGTTGTTCGTTCTTTAAGGTTTCTATATTATTTAAACTGTGTTCTTAGTCTACTTTGTATTTTTAGTTATGTAAAGGGAGCGACGGCCTTGTAGTTAAGGTGTTTGCCTCTCAACTCAGGATCGTAGGGTTAAGTCCTACCAGGGTCATGGCCATAATTATTTCATAATAAGACACCTGTACTGGTTAGTTCCAGAGTGTGGTTCAATTAAGCTATCATCAAAGTGGAGCTCAATTAAATATAATTGAGCCGCGCCATGACAAAACCAACATAATGGGTTTGCGACCAGCATGGATCCAGACCAGCCTGCGCATCCGCGCAGTCTGATCAGGATCCATGCTGTTTGCTATCAGTTTCTCTACTTGTTTTAGAGTATGTAAGCGAACAACATGGATCCTGAACAGACTGCGCGGATACGCAGGCTGGTCTGGATCCATGCTGCTCGCAAACCCATTATGTTAGTTTTGTCATGGCGCGGCTCATTATTAATTCTAACTATTTATGTACTTTAAAATATTTTCAAAGGCACCCACAGTTGTTTCAAATTACATTTAAATCAATGAAAGTCATGTTTAGTATTAAATGTTTCGTAAAAATAGAGATAGATGAAAATCAGTTTTTATGTGCACCGGCCTACAGTAATATTTAAAGACATACTATTCTTTGTCGATTTTGGCATTGTTTATTTGAATTATACATGAACGTGACGCTGTAAGAAGTACACGTACTGGTATTCACACCATATTACCTAGAAACAACGTAAAATAACTAGAATATTTACAGTAACAACTAAGAAATACGTACAACAATGTTTTACTTTAAAATTATATATTTTATATATTTATATATTTATTTTTATTCTTTATAGTACACTGTTATATACAAAGTTGCAATTAACGAATGTTTCGAATTAATGTATTTTAATAAAGGTCAGGTTTGTATCTAAATATAGGACGGGTTATATAAATCTTGATATCTTTTTCTTCCTGACACTTATTATTTCCAAACAGGCTATTAGGTACATGTTAATAACATTTCCCAATCTTACTGCAAATTACTTTCCGTATCAACTGATTTTTGTATCGATTCTATCTTGAATTACGGAGAAAAATGTCCCCTGAATAAACGAAATGAACGTATTTTTACAATTTAGAGTGACGCGGTAGTAATTGGAAAACTGCCATGGTGACAAAAATAAATTGTAAATTTGTAGTTTACGTAAAATTATACGTACAGTCACTGTAATAAGGTTAAACGACCTTCTTAAGAATTAGGTCGATTAAGCAATAAGCAGTTAACAACTGTGTTTTAATTAAAGAATACTACTATAGCTACATTAACATCAATCATAAATCAAAGCACAGAAGGCGCTGAATTTGTTTGGGTCTCAGAAGGTAAGCAAGGTGCAGGTTGTGGGATTATAAACCAATTTGTTTTTGTATGGTGCCACCAATGCTTTTTAGCGTTTTATTACATGCTTTTCGGTGGTTTATAGAAATATATCAGTGATATAAAAATGGTAATTTCACTGTTTGAAACAGTGAAATTACCACTTTGATAATTTCACTGTTTTGAATTTAAGCCCCTTACGTTATTTCAGTGAAATACCAGCGTGCACAGTACTGGGAACCAATTTAATGACGTGACGTCGTAAATGACGTCACGTTATATTATTATTTGGCGCGCTTTTCATTCAGTATTAGGTTAAATGTCTTTTTAAAACGTTTCTTTGCATATAATAAAAAGAAAATTTGTTTAGTTTAGTGTAAGATTGAAATATATTTCACCTTGTGAACACCAAAAGTTCATATTTCACTCGTGGCTGCGCCACTCGTGAAATATACCTTTTGGTGCTCACTCGGTGAAATATATTCCGATCTTACACTGAACTAAACAAATATCCTCTATTTATTTGTAGTAAATTTCGCTATTAGACTAATTGCAACACTGATATTCAATCCAATGTTTAGTTGACTTAAACAATTTGAAAAAAAAAATGAGTTGCCTTAACTGGGATTTGAACTCGCAAACCACTCGGCCACGGTGAATTTATATGTTAACGGCCTGAAGAAAACCATATTGTTCTAAATTAGGGTTTGTAACGACGCTAACTGTTGTTTAACACAGATGTAAATAAACACGAAGCTTACTATAAGCATGTATATCTATAAAGAATAAAACAATATTAGAAATCTTCGTCCATTCGGGAATTATTTTGTTTGAAAATTAATGCGCCTGTCATTTGACCATCTTTACGCAGTGATCTCCCCTGAATTTTTCGGAGTTAGTGTACATATAAAGGGAAGTAACCGCTTCAAAAAGCGGACTTCTTTCGGCATTTGCAATTAACAGCATTAGAGTCTGAAATTTCGCTACCATTATTTGTTTGGTCTGACGACCCAAACAAATAAAAACGGTATTTTTTTATTTTAGTTTTGCGGTTGTTTCGGATATTGGCAATGTCTACTTGTCATGAGAGAAATATAAATGACTTGTTGAACGTATGCACATATCTGCGGATATTTCCAAATTTAAAACGTTGCAAAATTTATTGTGTTCAATACTGCTTAGACTGGAGCTAGGTGGCGAGGATAATTGCTAACCACTGCTGTCCATGAACACATCCACTCACACCGATCCTGCAACATTTTCAATTTTGCGGTTTCTTTTCCCCGTTTAAATTATGATTTTTTTACTACATGTATATAACTTTTTTCTTATCTGGCGTATTTGGTTGTTATTGAGGCCTAACAAACAAATACATTGTAAATCATATCCTTTTTTTACCATTCGTTTCGCTTTGAATTTTCATATCATTCATTGTAGTTTATAGGTGCAAAGTGGAAGTATGACGCAAATACTTAATATAGACGACCTCAAAGAAGAGTACCTTAACTGTGACGTATGTGGTGATGAGTATGACGAAGACAACCGAGATCCGCGCGTGTTACCATGCCTACACACTTTCTGTGGTAGATGTCTGGAAGGCATGGTAAGGGATTGGACGCTCACATGTCCAACATGCCGCATCAAACATAACGTGCCAGGAGATAGGTAAGAATTTGCTTTTTTAATGTTATCATTTTTTTTTGGCAATAACTGAATTATTGTAACTGGTATTAACAAATATTAGAGCAAGTGGTTACATTTTTTACAACATACAGATGGTAAATGTACGACCAATTAACTAGTATGTTTTTCCAAGAAAATGAAGTGACTTACACAAATTGTAAAAGGTTAGAAATGCCACGGAACCGTTTCGATTAAACAAACAGTCTTTCAACCGTCATCACGTAGGGTACACAATGGGCGCAATTTAATTAAACACTTGTCATTTGTTACAAGCGTAACACTAAGTAACACCCATGTAACGCATGTAAATTCAGTAACATTTGTAACAAGTTTGCTTGAATTTCTTCCCCCATCAAAAAATTATTATAATTATTATGATACAACTTTTATATAGCATTCGTTCCACTATTTAATACACACGTTATATTACGAACCATATAAATGTGTTGTATACTTTTTAAAAAAACGAATTACTGTGAAAATACATATAGGCAAACAGTTTATACAATGTGAAATTCAAATACAGCAAAACCTGTGAATAGGGACCACGCAGTAAAGAGATCTTACATGGCCTTGACAGACAAGTGGGCTTTATTCTGAGTTAACCCTGTTGTATTTCTATCAATGAAGGTTTGCACAAGAGTGGTCTTAATTGACAGGATTTTCCTTTATCCGGAGTAGGTCTTTAACACAGGTTTGACTGTAACTTGAAAATAAATTGTGAGTATAATGTAATATGCCTTGATATTTTCTTCCATATTTAGTGTCAAGAACTTCCCCAAAGAGCACACTCGGCGGAGTCTCCGAGATTTCATTCGTCTTAAGCGAAAGACCCATAACATACCCTGCAGAGATTGTCCAGATTCTAGCAATGCTGTCTACTTCTGCAAGGATTGCCAAACATTTATGTGTGCTGAATGTACACATGCTCATCTTCGAAACTTCCTGTCAAGAAATCACCAGATTGCCAACTTTGAGCAACTTCGGAAGTATGGCCTTGAAACGTTCCAAAGGGAGTTAACATGTTCCGTTCCAGGTCATGAAGGACAACCCCTGTCTCATTTTTGTACAGCGAAAGTGTGCTCCAAACCGTTATGCAAAATGTGCACAGTTCTTGACCATGACGAATCAAAAGGCCACGTCATTAAGAAAATACAAGATGTTTACGAAGAAGAAAGACAAATCGTCAATGAGCTAACTAAAAAACTTGAAGACAAGATATCGGTGGCAAGAAACGTAATGAAGGAAGCTGAAGACGAACACTCAACACTTGCACAGAAAGAAGATATCATGAAACATGAGATTGATATAGAAATGGACGCTGGAATAAAAATGCTGGAAATACGACGTAGGGAACTGAAGGACAATCTAACTGGCAGAATTAAAGAAAAGAAATCAGTCCTTCAGAAACAGAGGGATTACCTGAGATATTACGTTTCTCTAATGGCCAGTGCAAGAGAGTTCTCCTCTCACAGTCTTGTTCATAGTATGCCAGCTGAGTTTGTGCAGCTTACTAAAACAATCAGCAACAGGCTAGATGAGCTTAAAGACCAACATCTCGACGTTTGCCCGTTAGAAAACTCATATGTAACTTTTGATAGAAACGCTATGGGCCAGGAATTCAAAAGTTTCGTTTTAGGTATGGGACAAATTCGTTCTACAGCCATCTATCCACCAAAAACATCTGTCGAAACGTTAGAAGCTCCGCTAGGACAGGAAACTGAAGTAATCAAAGTATTCCTCTACGATGCAAAGGGGCGACCACAGAGAGACAGTTTTGATGCTATAAGTGTTGAGATTAAAGACCCTAAAGGAAATGTTGTTCCGTCAAGAGTGGTTGATGCAAAGACGGTAGACGGCTGCTACAAGATTGTGTGTAAACCAGGTACACATGGTACCCACAAAGCTAGAATAAGGGTTCTCAATCGTCCGGTAAATGAAGAGGGCTTCCAGTTTGTTGTCCGTGCTCCTGGTAATATTTTGCACCTCGGACATGGAATGGGAATAAGACGCACTTGATTAAGCATTTGATTGTGTTTTTTTGGTGAGGGAATGTTTATAGCACTCGTTTTTTAGAACCTATTTACTTTTATATATTATATGACATTTTTTATAACAAAATACATCTGCACCATATGACTACATACAATGCAATGTTACATTTTAAATAGTATCTGCATTAAAATCATATCACAAAGTGTTTATGTTTACGGCACGGTATTGGAACATTTCCCTTGCTTTGGAGACATTAACTTATCTCTTTTCACAATTGAATAATTAGTCTATCATTATAAAGAAACATTTTAAGTTATATTATATTTAGAACTAAAACCTTAAACAACTTTTTTTAAAGTGTTCGGTCAGTATTTTTCACATTTGAGCACTTACTATCTATTTAATACAAAAAGTTCTCTTTTATAAAAAGATTGACGTTAAGGAAAAAGTACGGAAGCACAGAGGGGAAATTCAGATTTTCATTTTTTCCTGTCTCGTGGCCACGAGATATAACTCAGAAAAAAAACAACGAAAAACAAAATGCTGAGTTATATCTCGTGGCCACGAGATAGGAAAATAAAATAAAATCGGAATGTCCTATCTGTGCTTCCATAAAAAAGGAAAATTTCACTTCATTCATTATTGCAAATTTGCTCGTGCGTGTCTGGAAGTGGGAAACAAGCATTTCGTTATACTGTATATTACAAACTATGGAGTTACGGTTACATATTGTTCATAATTATCTTCAATTAAAATTGAATTGAATTAAAACAGCCTATTTCAAAGAATAAACGGCAAACTGTAATTCTAATAAAAGCTATACCCGGTAATCTTTTAAATATTTGTAAACATATTTGTCTTTCTGGCGATTCAAAACACTTGATAATAATACAAGATTCGTTCCAAAAAAAAAAAAAAAAAAAAAAAAAAAAAAACATCCATTATTTTCTTCTTCAGGTGAAATCGACAAGAGGTTTGGTGATATTTTATGTAAGTATTGTATTACTTATAATTATAACTTTCATCATTCTAATGTTCATGTGTATTAAAAACAAATCGAGGTACAAAATCATTGCGCCTGGCGGACAGGCGGGCAGACGAACAAGCGGCGTCAAGGCAGCGCCCAGTATCGTCCGAAGCAGGGAGGGATTTTAATAGAATTTGATACAAATTTCACCATCATATGGTATTGTGTCGCACGTGTGAATATATATCACTTTTATGTCACAATTAGAGGTCAAAGAAAAATGCTTGTCCAGAGCAAAATGCATTAAGAGATTAATATGTTAATTGATACAATTCTTTCCAATTGCCAGAGAAATTCAGGTCCCTGCGGCTAAGGCCAAGGAACTCTTTAATATAGTTTGTCAACATTGTTAGCAATAGTGTTGTGCGCGAAACTCATGTTATTTTTGAAAAAAAAATCAAGGTGAAATACAGAGGTTCAAGGTAAGAAATTATAATTAAAAGTATTGATGACAGTCATCATGAATTGTGGGATTTTAGTGTAAATGTTTTAACTTGTTTGATCTAGCATATGTGAAGGGCGTAGTTTAACCACGGTTTGTGTACAGGGTGACTTAATACTTCGGGCATACACGCCTGCGTAGTAAAATACCTACTCCCAAAAGTATGGATACTAGAATCCCGATATCAATGTGTAAAGCTGTTGGGTAGGTTAATGAAACACGTTATTAAGATTATAAAATCATTCATTTGCGCTTTTGGTCAGATAATAACCTTTTAAAATAATTAAATAACTTTTTTGTCATTAAGGTGTTGGTTTCCTGTTTGATGCGGAAACTGCCCATCATGAACGAGCCATTTCAATGGATGGCAGAAATATGAGATCTGATATAGAAACTCTACGCCGTGTTGCTGGGCTGAGGCTACGACAAAACCGCGGAATTGCAAGAGGTAAACATTCAGTCCCTCTTCCCCTTTTTTTATTCTTTCAAAATTTCGCCGGATGTCTTCCATCATTTTGCCGGAAGACATGTTGCTTATATTGTACTATTAGCTTGATCAGCCATTAGTTTATTTTAAGCAAACGATATTCACGTATTTCATAATCATTTAAAGCCCGGAATACTTAATATTTCATACATATGTATTTGTTACATAAACTACACGTTTATGTATCTTTTCATTTCAAAACAAACCATACTTTAATACAAAATTCAAATACCATTTCTTTCGTAACAGTATGGAATTTTTATGAATGCAAATTGGCAAATTACTTTATATAATACTGACTTTTGAATAAAACAAATAAGGGTCGCTACATCTGTTTTACGCATTAAAACAGAGTAGACAATAATATCAAGTATACAAAGTTCAATGTGCTAGACACATTTTATACAATACATATTGACAGACCGATATTAGATTTCTAGAAATGAACATTTTCGGTAGAATTTGCGAATGATTCAAGCAATACGTTTCTCAACGTGACAGGCCTTCCGGATACTTGCTGCTTTATTGATTAAGGATATAAAGGCTGTGACATTTTACGCAGGCCTAAATTAACATTGTGTAATATTCTTAAATTATTCCCTAGAAATCTTCACACTTACAACCAAACAATTGTAACGGAAATGCGTTTATAAACCCATCGTTTTACTTTCAGGCATATTATTTTATATGTGTTTTTCATCTGTTAAGTTTATAACTACATAGCTTCAGCATCGATGTGTAATTAAGATTAGATATATTTCTGAATATACATATATTTGCGCCTGAAAGTCTGGAAACATTTTGTAGACGCTTGTCAAAGTCGACAGGTAGAATATAAAGCCATAAAAACCAAGCTGTCATATTAACTTTTGTTTTAATATAAAGACACCTACATAATAGAAAATGAATTTCTTATATCTTCTTAAAATGACCCGAAGGAGTGTTTGATTAAAAACCTTGGTATACTGTCTTTGGTTTAGGACGTCGCCGTTTCCCATGGGAATTAGAATCGGCGAAACAGATGAAGATGAAAGAAAGGGACATGGATGACGAGGCTCAAACCAGCATGATAAAGAAATCTGTGAAAATGGACTCAAGATTTACCAAGAATAAAACACAAGATATCGATGAGCTTGACAAGGAACGCAGGGAACGCATGGATTCAGAAATGGAAGCTGGCTACGTGAATACTGCAGAAGGTGGTATTGAAAATATTTAGATTTTTTTTATTCAGAAAAACATTTTTTGTTTAATATTCATGTTAGAATAAAAGTGTACTATAAGGTTAATTTGTAAAAGCAATATGTACCACAAAGAAATGAGTGAGACCAAAAAAGTATTGGAGCTCTACACTAAATACTGTATTCTGGTATATATCAGACAATGCGCTTGAATGATTAAATGCTAAATTCGCACATTTTCATGCACCGAAATGCACATTAAAACATTGCATTCACCTTTTCACACCGATTTATATACGAAAATAAAAATAAATGATGAAAGAATCGGCGAAATAAAAATTGTACTTTGTGATCAGGTACTGATCCAACACTGTAGTGAGTTAAATCCTTTGTAAAAGCAATATGTCCCACTAAGAAATATATTCTAATATAATGTTTAGAACGGTTCTGAACCTAGCTTTGAAAAAGTCTTTTAATTACATATTATATAAAATATAACTTAATACAGAAAGTTTTTTTTACAGTATATTAGGAAATAATATAGAATACTGTTAGGTATTTTGTTCAGAAATGTAACAAAAAAGTATGAAACAGCCATTGATCTCCCCTTTGATGTATTTAATTTCAGATGACAGTAGAAAGGCTTTATCTCGACCAGCATTATTGCCTGAAAAATCAATTTGGAACAAAAAATTGAAGAAATACTCTGGCGTCATTGCAACAAAGTTCCTACGAGCTCCTGGAAAGTAAGAAATAAGCTTTATTATTTTCTTATAAATAAAATACTCAGAAATAATGATGAACTAAAATGCGCATTTTCACTTTCTTGATATTCACTGTAAAAAGTTGTTTCTACACTGCAGTGAAACATATTTCCACATTTTCACTGCTGTCTTACCGGACTACTTTCTTCTTAATTCAGCCAATACACCAAAATAAGGGGAAAGTCTTTCATATTGTCATGTCAAAAAAGAGAACAATGTATAAAACAAACTGAAATTCAAGTTCTTTTTTATTTTCTATAAAAACAGTATTTCACTCGTGGCAACCGCTATTCATGAACTATTTATTTTCATTGTCATACTTCTTGGTGAGAATAAATCCTGTTTTAATAGAAAAAAAACTTAAATATCCTTGTTATTGTTGTAATATAAACCCAATGAAAAGTGATAAAATTGTGAAGTTCACGAGCGTCCACCGGAATCAAGATTCGAAAACAAATTTTGGAGATACATATATCACTAGCGTCTTCGGATTCGTCATGTGAGAAGGTTATCCAGCCTGCCGTTTGTGCCTGAAATAATGTACAGAGGGTCATCTGAGGTCTTCCTGTACCCAAAAAAAAACAAAAAAACAAAAAAAAAAAAAAAACGACACAGACACACTAAAAAGTAAAATCTGATGCAAAATAAATGTCAATGAATCATTTTACGTAAAAGAAAATTGCTCCTTTTTCAAGTTATATTTTAAATAATTTTTTTTGGCCGAGAGCGTTTTGTTCAAACAAATCGATTACATCAAGTAACTAGATATACACCTTAAGACTTAAAACATAAAACATACGAAAATTGGTCCCAGCTGGAATGTCCAGTACAGATGTGGTGATCTAATTTATCTGTAGCTTGATGTTATTTCTGAGACAATGCCTTACTTGTAAATATCTCTTTTAAGATATAAGATAGGTGCCGTATGAAAAATGTCAATGTTCTACAAAACTAACAAGGGATTTATAATCTGAACCGGTACTTCGGGGGACAATGTACATATGAATTTTTATTTACATATTGATCATGCTTAAATAGACATTCTTATTGTGTTATATACTTCACACATGTTTGTTTATTTCACATGTTGTTATTGAAAACATTTAAACTTATTTTAGTTTATTTCACATGTTGCTATTGAAAAGATTTAAACTTATTTAAGTTTATTTCACATGTTTCTATTGAAAAGATTTAAACTTATTATTGTTTATTTCACATGTTGTTACTAAAAACATAAACTTATTTTAGTCTATTTCACATGTTGTTATTGAAAACATTAAACTTATTTTAGTTTATTTCACATGTTGTTATTGAAAACATTTCAACTTATTTTTATAGGTTTTACTGGGAAGTACAAGTGTTTTATCGTATCCACGTAACTCTGCTTAGAAACGCCCTTCTCTTTGAGATCGGAATATCAAGACTTGACGCAGTTCATAGCAGTTTCTATGTAGGCAGCCAAACGTTTGCGTGGTCATTCTCGGCTGAACGATGTGGGGAGCATAAACAGGTATTGTGTTATTGCATATACATGTCTCTTTAAACACTCAATGATTGGCACATATTTGTATGATGTTTTATGTTTAATTACAAGTGTTTTAAAGGACCATTATGTCAAGGAAATGCTTTAAATTTTATTTCTCAAAACCGTTTTTATTTTTGATGTCCTGTTATAATTTCCAGAATTACTCACTGGCAATGTATCTGAAACGGAAACATATTTTTGTTAATTAGTATTGTTATTATAGTGATTTTGTATTTTGATTGGAAGTCAAAAAAGTTCTTTGATTACAGTTTGCTACTTTTATGACAAATAACTTCACATTGAGTGCTACTTTCCTCAGATGATTTAAGCATCGTATACGTTCTAAAGCCCTTTTTAACAGTTTAAAACTCATTTATCTCGTTCTAAAGATGTGCTATTGCATCTGCATTTCTCTCAAAGTACTCAATGAATTGCACATTTCTAATCATTTTCTTAAATGCAAAAAATATTTGATTTGTTTTGTGTATGCATATATGTATATATTCGTGGAATAAATATGTTAACTTTAAACTAATTGCACATGTTTGTATGTGTTTCATTTTAACTTACATGTGTTTAAATGGCAAAAATGCTTTTAATTTTATTTCTCGAACGTTTTTTATTAAATTTTGGTGTCCTATTAAATTTCCAGAATTTTACTCATTGGCTATAAACTTGAAACATCTTTTGATTCTGTTGCTGTTTTTTGTCGTTTTGTATAGTTATGGTAGTGATTTTGTATTTTGTATGGAAGTAAAAAAAGTACTTTGTTTACATTTGGCTACTTTTATGACAAATAGTTTCACATCCAGTGCTCTTTCACCAGGTTATAAGCATCGTACATGTTCTAAAACCTTTTTTAAAACAGTTTAAAACCCATTTATCTCTTAAGAACATATTTATTTCTGGTGGATAATGCGCCTTTATTTGTATGTATCTTACAGTATATAGAATAGACGATTGCTCATGATTAAATTCCTCCATAAATAGTAAGGTATATGATCCTTCATTTAAAATTTGATTCAATCAAGACTACAGCATTCTTAAAATCAGCTATATATGTACTGTATGACTAGGTATGTCACAAGTTCCGGCACAAGAGGCAGTTGTTGAATCATCATCCAATCACAAGCGACACTGCTGGTTCCACCCACCATGCCACTTACGGATTTTTATTGGACACAACCAAACGTGAATGGACAGTTATTGACGTCAATTTAAGGTAATACTGTCATCGTTTGAATGTTAATGATGTGTCAATTAATAACATCGGTTTGGTGTTCGTTAAGCTGTATTTGTATTTGTTTGGATAGAATCAATGTTAACAATTTTCTCCCGAATCAATCATATGTATCTACATATGTGCATCGAATTACGCATTGTGTGAGTGCAATGTATATAGATGTGTAATGCATATCTTTGTACAATGTCTTCGTATATCTTTGAGACACATATGCATCTGTATTGTTCCTTATGTACATTAATAATGTACACATAAACGTGATCTGTCAGTTATTAAATTGTTGTAATGCATATATTAACAAGTTCATTTGTGATATTTGACAACAAGTGAAACAAGCTTGATGTTTATTTATATTTTCAGAAAAACTTTGTTCAATTTTCAATCGATTGATACCACTGAGCCTCTATGGCCCGTGTTTGGAACATACAACCCCTATTCTGTACACGTGGAGCTCACACTGAAGACAGGGCGAGATATTGTGTCTATCCCTGATATACTCAGACCAGTGAGTATTCAATATATTAAACTTAAATCGGTCGAATAAAAAGAATTTAGATATATAAACTTTATAAGATAGATATAAATATTATTTTAAAAATACATAATGCCTCAGAAATCTATATTTTTGTAATCTTAAGAAATATAAAATATGTGTTCAAAAATGTTTAAATAATGGTTTAGCGTATTAGATGTTAAACAATTGAAGAAAATAGCGCTGAATGTGCAGTTATGAGTCATAAAGTTAAACAAAGCAGTATTTAAAATTTCAAACAAACTGCTAATTATACAAATTGCTAAAAAAGTAAAGAGAGCAAAATACAAAAAGCTTTTGAGAAATAAAAATTATAGCATTTTCTGAGGCATAATGGGCCTTTTAATTAGTTTCATGAATCAATAATATTATGGAGAAGATGAAATTTTAGACATTATTATTTATCCTTTGAAACATTTGCCTTGCAAAACAAGAATCACCCTGGGAAACGAAACTACTTTCGTATTTAAAATGCATGATGGAAGCGATCGATGGTAAATATGTTTTAAATGGGAAACGCATAATTCTTATAAGACAATACGTCCGTAGATATAATACAATGTATATGTTATACACAGGCGGAACATTTTTCTTTTCATTTTTCTTGTAAGTCCAAACAAGCACTCCGATAAACTGAACTTGTACCGTATTCTTTGCATTTTTGTTTATCATGTATTAAGAAAAAAAAAACGTTAACAAAGGTCAACTCACCAACAATCGAAAGAACCAAATGCAGTCTGTCGGAATGTTTTACTTTCACAAAGTTTATCAAACTGCAACTTCCGTGGGGTTAAACCCATTATCATCAAGGAGTTTGCTGTTTATATTCTAAATTAAATATTTATCTTATTTTAATTGTTACACTGTGTTATTTATGAAACACGTATCCGCTAAACTAAACTCATACTGTATTATCTAATTTCTATGTGGAACGGGTAAATATCATAGTGTAAAAACACGATTAATATGACTGTGATTTAAAAAAAACAACAACAGCAAAATCTTTGACAAGGAGAGTTTAAACCATCGAAACGATTGAGGAGGATGTAATAAATAATTAAATAGCTATATATTAAATGTTTCCAAGAGTAGTTCTATTTTATGAATCAAATTAGCTTCCTGTGGAAGTAATAACCCCCATGAACAATACTGTTGAACCAAGATCCTTTGACAGTAAATATCATTGCCTACAATTTGACGAACCAAATCGCAATTACTTAGATTGCTGATCTTTGTTTTGTATTTTCAGGGAAGCGCCAATAGTAAGACTCAGCCTAAAACGTCAAGGAAGAAAAAGCTGCCCTTTGATGTCACTAAGTAGCTCTTTGATGTCACTAAATAGGAATAAGACGACTGCATTAAAAGTGACATAATGCTCATTTTTTCGTTGTCAAACTGAGTTAAATGGACTATATGTTTCAAAAGATTGAATGTTTTAATAGTGATTGACCAACTGTTGATATTGGAAAATGTTAAGAATAAAATGTAAATCTGCCTTGAATATGACAGGACCGTGCCACACTCTTTATAAAATATTTTGAACTTTACATGATACAGAAATTTTTCGGGTCTCTTGAGTTATTCATCATTCGGGGGAAGTATATTATAAAATTGAATGTCATTATGGCAAAATGTTAAACTTATTTTGACTTGCACATGTTCACTAACTTTATGCCCTTTATTGTCACTTTAATCATACCTTTGTGTATTTAATTCAGACATCTTTCTGCAAAATGCTTGATTCTATATGTATATGTAGTATGTTTACATTTTACCATTACAAGCTCAAGTACAATGTTGATTTCCTTTGGCTGCTAGCGCTATAATTTTGTTTGTATTGAACTGTGTTGAATTAGAAATATCGCAAGAAACAGAGGTGAACTTTAAACTATTTAGACATCTTCCTTGGCATTGTAGATGCCATTTTTCAGCTTTAGCGTGTGCTTTTAAATGTGATACATTATATTTTCTGTGATACCTTACTTTACATCTAATCTGTGAATTATTTACATGATTTTACTACAAAACATAAATGAACATGAATTTTTTTTTCATGTTGTATATTTAATTATTTATTTTTTCGATAAGAGTTATAAGAATGTATTTTTCGGTTTTTTTCTTCGTATACATCTATTTTTTTATTGCCAAAATTGTATGTTTTCATTAATTTTGAGTGCAGTGAAATAAAAAAATGTACAAACATGTTATTTTCTTTCTTCAAACCCATCTCCGTATAATAGACACAGCATGATTAGTTTACACTTTACTTTAGTTTAATGGTTCTCGGTTAAACAACTGTACTGTAAATGAATGGAACTAAAGGTCAACTTTTTACGAAACAGCTTTATGAAGCCGTATTAAACGAAGGCTTATTTTATGTTGTTTTCATGCCCGTTAGGTGGATGACTTGTTACATTATAATTAGAACGAGACAGCTAGATAGATAAAAATAACACGTATATTCGTAATTCTGATTTCTTTGATATTTATTTGTAGCTTGATTCGAAACTAGGAATAACACTGTAGGCAAGCAATTTTGTTATCAA